AAGTGTCTTAAGTTTGGCCTACATTTGAATTCGTTGATAATTGATTAACCAATGTTATTTGGATGGTTAAAAAGATTTAAGTTGAGCAGCTGTTTTGTGATCTTATGGGACTGCAGAGCGCCCGTAACATGTCTAAATGCAAAAGCAAGTAAAACTAGAATCGCCTAGCAAAACTAAGAAGAACGTTGTATTCAACACTTCGCCAAAGCCTAACAACCTATTGTAGAAATGCTCTAGCCTCGAATATGTAATCGTGGCGCCATGGAATCCAGGAGCATTCAAGGTGCAGGTAATCTGTAATGTACACCTGGTGTATTCAAAAGGAGTCAAAGATATACACCTGAAGTATCCGAGTCAAATTCGCAAAAACAGGATGGATTCTAAAAGGATGAGTTCCAGGTGTATAGTTTTTATAGCCGACAGAAACAGAGGTTGTTAAGTGATCCTATTCATAGCTTGCAAAGCCATACTGAAGTCGTGCATTGAATTTTCAGGTTATGCAGAGAATGCGGCTACTTTGTGGTCACCTGATTTTTCGTCACTTCACAGCAGTGTCATTGCTTGTAGTAATTTCTCTTACAACATGTTTTTGGAAAGGAACTGAAGGCCGTGTCACAGGTAATTCAGTGTAGAGAATGATAATTACTGTAAGAACGATTTATTTAATTACAGGTTATTACGGGAAATTCGAGAGAACAACGTTACCAACAATTACCAATTATCCAGCTATGAATTATCCAAACCGCGAACAATTATCAATCATAAAGGAATACTGTCGACCAAATCTCATGATATTCGATGTATTTATCTTATTTATCAATGCCATTTCATGTTTGTGTGCCGAAATTATTTGTTTACTATTTCGCATGATATAGCATATAACCTTTTCAACTCTTTACCTTATTTCCCTGATATCCAGGCCAGACACCGTTACTATTCTTTCTTTTACAGGACCAGCTCCTGAATCTTTGCTTCTCAGTACTTTGCACCCCAACTGCAGCCAAAATGCGACCACAAACCAAGGTACGCCAGTCAATGTATTTTACACGTAAAGTTTAACATGGAAGGAAAGTTAGATTGCTTTCCGCATGTTCCGGCTTGAATTAAAACAACTGAACCTTCTAGCCAACAGAATTTAAATGTATCTTAAATCTAATAGGTTGCCTTTGTACGATTTTTCTGAATTCCAAATCTGCTAGAATCTGCAATTTTAGGATTTAGTGTAAAATGAGTACATGCTGTCAAATTTTGAAATAATTAGATGAAAAACTCTTGGAAGACTATAAAGGAATTCAGAATATAATTAACACTGTTCATTTTATTGCGTACAGAGATCCATTGCTTGTTTATTTGTGCACTTTCCAAATTAGAATTTATTTGGACTGTTTGTTTGTAAAATTGTTAGCGTCGTTGTATGGAATTTTGCGCAACTAATATAATTATTTAAAATAACTAATCCCAAAGGCAGTTGAAGAATTTTTATGTTTGGAAACTTTCATACTGTCTAGGTTCAAAATGGGATGAAAACATTCATATTTTAACACAGTACTGCAATATGACGGAATACAGTTGCAAAGGTCGCTGTGGAAAGGAAGAACGAACTAATGCACGGCGCTGTTTTTGTGATAAACTTTGTGGTGACTTTGGTGACTGCTGTTTTGACTTCGATGCATTGTAAGTTTCTATACTTTTTTGTAGCACAACTATACAGGCTATTTATTCGGATTTCCCGCTGAGGAAACTAACGTTTATGCAATCCAAGTAATCCAAGCCATTTTTTTTGTTTTTGTCAATATCTAACTGCAGATTTTCCCCTACAGCAGATTCTGCATGTCATGCATTATATATAAACCAGGAACCGATCAGGTCTGCTAATAACATCCTGGTACAAATATCGCTGTTGGTACACTTCCTAAAGAAAGAGAACTTTTAAAACGAAACAATGAAGTTCATAGCGAACTAAGACATTGTCAAAAGCTCAACCTACAACCCTAACATATAACCACTCAGGTACTGGGAAAATTTCGTAACACAAACGAATTTCGGAGGTAGAGGCTAGACTACATGGCCCAACAGTGCATCGTTTAAATAAAATTAACAGTGGAAAAAAAATGTTTAATTATTGGTCCCAGAACAATCTAATCAGTCAGATGTTGAGATCATTAATTGATACCCTGCTTACCAAGAAGCCGCTGCATACTAATAAAACTAGTTCATCCACACTGCTGGCTGACGGCATTCCTGAAAACCCCAACACAATAAGCCATTTTCTAAAACTGAAAACAAACCAAAGTACATCCAAATGAGACAATTCTTTTTCTCTCATAGATGCCGAACATATGTGAAACCTCCTCGCTGGCCTTTGAATGAAACCTGCTTGGTTAACGAAGGCGTGTTCCAAAAAAAAATCAATAGCGTGGCAGTTTGGAACATGTGCCCACGGAACTGGACAGAAAGCGACGTGAGACAAAAATGCCAGGATGAAGATCAAAGTGACCTTATAAGTAATTTGCCAGTATTTGACAAAGACCGCGACGTAACGTATAGAAATATATTTTGCGCAAGATGCAATGGTGCTCCACTGAGTGCGAAATTTTGGAAAATCCAATTCAATTGCAACAATTCCTTAAACGCTACAACTTTCAGTTTACTAGGCAACGAGACGATCCTGTTACCTGGGGATTGCTGGATCGAGAAATTCCCAGACCCTTTGCATTCACCTCGAAACCCGTTAAAACAATGCATTCCTCGGTTCCAAAGGTGCCGACATACAACCCTAGAAAATGGATTTCTCTGCGAAACCGATTGCCCGAGGTACGCTTTCCCAGTATGCTCTGCAGGTATACGATCCCGAAACCCACGTTGCGCTTTATGCGCTGGTTTCAAACTAGATGAGCTCAACTGCACCTGTGACGCTGATTCAATAAGAGGAGTACCTTCGCTCACCATGCTCTTTGATTTTACTTCTACATCTAAGTACAGTGTTGTGGTACGAGATGAGAGACATTACGTGTTTAAAAGAACTAAAAAAGAGTTCTCATGCCGTTTTGACCAGGTTTACGATCCCTACGCAGGGACCTGCAAAAAGATCGCCTCAACGGAATTTTTAACTGCAGTACGTCTTGGTAACCGGGCCAAAGATATCAAGCAAAAGCGAAGAAACAGGACAAAACTGCAGTTAAACGTTACGTCCATAATGAATAATGAAACTGGCTATACGCCTAATGGATTGCATCATGGTCATCGAAACGAAAGCACAAGCCAGGAATGGAATGAGAACTGCACTGGATTGGCGTTCAATAAGACGGAATATGTGCTGCTTTCTAACGGTTCCGTCTACTTGAAACTTCACAAAAAGATGTACAGCAATATGACTTATAATATCCATAATAAGACATTAGTCTTGTGCGTGAACTTTTCAAGAAATTACACGAGAACAGAAAACGAAGGTGGCATACAAACGATCACTAAAACGCCAGCATCATTCCAACTTCTTACCTTAATTGGATGTATAGTGTCGACGGTTTCTCTTGTTCTTCTGCTGATTACGTATCTTGTATTTGCTGAACTCCGTAATTTACCTGGGAAGATCATAATCAACTTGATATTGTCTCTATTGCTGTACCAAAGTGTCTTCTTTTTGGCGCTTAAAAAGGACGATCAAGAAACATGCCTGGCAATCGCGGTTCTTCTCCATTTCTTTGTTCTGTCCTCCTTCACGTGGATGAATGTCATGGCTTATGATATGCGTCGGATTTTTACTAACGCTTCAGGTTCGTTGGGTGTAGTTGACGTATTCGTTGTGCTACAATTAACGCCTATTTAAACTAATGTACGATGAAGTCTACCAATTGCTTTTAAATATAATTATCAAGGTGTGGCTACCAGTTTTCGTTTTTTTTCGCTAAACAGAGGAAAGGAGGGGTAGCCCCATGATACGTATCCAAAAATATTTATTAGGTAGTAGCCAAACTTAAATCGAGCGTGAACTACAAAAAGGCTCATTTCATAGGGAAGATAACATTGAAATTAGCTTGGACCCATTGCCCTCAACCAGGCCCGAGTAGGATACCTCATCTTAAATGAAAAACTTCATGTCCGAAGGTTTAATAAATGCCCGGATGATCTTGCTCGGAAGGAAAATAAGGAGAAGAAGAAGATCGTTTCTGGGAGGACGGATGAGTTTTATTCAAGCTCTGCCACAAAGTTAGAACGTTTCATCTAATGTAGTAATGAGATGCCTTATGTTATGACTTGACGGAGTTTCCTTGTATTCGACTTGCGCAGATCTAACGTCTTGATACTTCTTTTAAAGAGGGTGTTGCGGCAAATCGTCAAAATCGACAAGGAGGCTACACGACGCGTCTCATGAAATATTGCCTGTATGCCTGGGGATCACCTCTGGTGATCGTCGTCGCCTGCATTGTAGCCCATCATGTCAAAACAGGATCTATTGAATATGGTAAGCGTAACATATCTGAATTGATCTGAATTCATAGATATCAAGTTCACTTTCTGTCTACACGTCCCTGCCATGAATTGGCTGTTTATAGATGACTCTGATTGCGAGCATTGATCAAGATGATTATCAATCTGACTTTAATTAGTTCACAAAGATAAATCAACTGCTGCAACAAATACTAGAAACCGGACGTGTAAAACATTGGGTCTTCGTCGGAGCAACATTTTGCTCTGTGGAGAGAGCAACTGTCAAGTGTTTCACTTGCTCCACTACGCAGTAAAACAGTTTCTTTAAACTACATAATGACCACTTGTTCAGTGGATCAAATTAATGATATGTAATTATACTGTGTCAGTTCCAATGAAACGTATCTGATGAAAACGACTTTCGACTCGAGCTCTTGCGCGTTTATGACAAAATTATGTTATTAATTGAATGATATGTATAACGTGAGTATACATGGTACTGTGTTAAAGAAGTGTCTTCACAACTAATGAGCTATTTTGGGATATAAACAGGGCAAGGTGAAGAGGAATGTTTTATATCACAGCCTCAAGCCCTTCTTTATTCGTTTGTTTTGCCTGTTGCACTGGTGATGATCTTCAATCTGTTTGCATTGGGACACACAGTCGTTCATATAGTCAAAACTCGAAAGGTAAGAAAGAGCACCGGAAGATTATGAAAGTCTTACAACATGCCATTTAAAGATAGGTTTATAATTTACCCCTTGTCCTTCCTTCATATATTTGCAATATTCATGTACCTCTGATGCTATTTAGTTATGTTAATTCTACTACAGTACGGGTATTTCTTCAAGTACATGTAGTAACCTCTGTTGTAGATTTTATAGCTTCTGGCTTGGTCGATCTTATTGAATGAAAAAGCGAGAGAAGAATGAACGAAAATTAGATTAAAACACACGAACTAGTTATGGACTGTCTTCATATGCCGACAAGAATATAAGTCCTGTTCGTCTGATCACGACCAGGCGTCTGCTTCATTGACTGACCGACTGATGGACAGATGGAGCTGATGGATTGACTGACTGACTGACTGACTGTCTGACCGACTACATGAATGACTGGCTCAGAGACTGAATAAAGGCATGCATAGATAGGCACATTTGGATTTGTTGGTTGTCGATGATCGTTTTTGAATATGAACTTGTTCAATTTCAGGGTGCGCAACAAGCAAACAGGCAGCAACACGGCACCAGCGTAGCTCTGATCTGTGTTAAAATGGCTTCAGTGATGGGAGTCACATGGATTCTCGGGATTGCTGCAAACCTGAAAGCTTTGTCATTTTTGTGGTACCCATATGTGGTTTTAAACAGTCTTCAAGGTACGTACCTTATTATAGCTCAGTCACAGATAGAACCATGTTTTGTTTTACAACAAGATCAGCACAAAGCGACAAACAACTTCAATATCTTACTTGATAGGATTGCATTCACACTAAACTAAAATTAAACTCTCATAAAAAAAAAAAACAAAAAAAACAGCATAACTGTTTAATTCTTTCAAAACCTTTTTCTTATGATTTAGAATGCAATTGGCCCTAATCTGGTATATCGTACATCTGATCTAGGTTGTTACATTTTGAGTAGTTACTGGCAGAACAGTGTTGAATTATTTACCTTTTTAGGGCATTAAACCAATTTCAATTTTCTGAATTGCTGCAGTGATGTTCTGGTTTTTCCAAAAACTAGTATTTGCCTGGAATTAATATCGATGAGTGAAGTCCGCTCTTATTTCATTACAATATATATTTTTTAATATTTAAGAACTGGTTCTTTGTCTGAGAACCTTTGAAATATTTAAAATATTTTTACATATTAAAATATTTTAAGATGTTTTATTCCAATGTTTTTCTCAGAACTCTCACAACCGACCGTTATATACGTTCCAAATCAGTGTTTTAGGTACACTGATATCTCAAGAATTTTGGTTTATTATTCTTTCTCTACAGGGTTGTTCATTTTCCTGTCTTTTGCTGCAAGTGGGAAGGCTTTGGAGTTGTACAAAAGTAAATTGGCTAGAATCCAAAGGAGTCGCGCAACACAGAACGAAGTAAACTTTCAAACAAACTATAACTGTAACCAAACAGACGGAAATCAAATTGTACAGGATACGCGCTTGTAAATAACTAATATAACATTGTATAATGTCGGATAGTGTGCAACCCGAAATATATATACGTTATTTGTAACTATAAGTTAGAGCAATTTTCATTTGAGTGTCGCCAAATCCTGTCACTCTGGCCAGTAACAAATTACACCGACAATTTAATGAACCAATCAAAATTGAAAGCCAAAACATTATGGAAGCCGACACAAAGCGAAGGAAAACGTGTCCGAGCGAGTCACGATTGGTTTTGGTTTTACGTTTGATTGGAGGACAAACAGGCACAAGATTTTTAAGTCAATCACTTCGCGTCGTAATGCAAAACCAAAGCAGCTTGACTGCGAATTACGCTTAATGAAAACCTCTCTAAACATACTACAGTTCAACGTCACAGGTTACTAAACTGAAGATTATTATTTAAATTTACATTAATTAATTAATTTATTTATTTATTTATTTATTCGTTATGCTATCCAAAGATCCCTATTTAATGTTACACGCGTCCTGGGACGAATAATACACCAACGTGGCAACGTAGTTACAGTTGCTATGACCTTAGCCTCCAAAGGAAGACGTTCTTTGGACTCCTTTTTCAGATTCTGTCGTAGTTTCATTAAAAAAAAATTACGCGAAAGACGAATTATATTTCGCAAATTGTCGCAAATCTGGCGATATGAAATTACACAGGAGTACTGAGTATATCATTAGTAAAATCTTCTCTGCAAAGTCTTTAAATAATTATGAAACTGTAATAAACGTGATGTATTATTTGTCAGCTCACTGGTTCCCATGAAATGTAATCAGACGCCTTTTCCAAAATATATTGGTGAGCAAAATGTCCTTATTTTTTTTTATTCTCCTTTCGAGATGGCAATAAATGTAATGATTTGCGTAATCTGCATTGGCTATTGGTAATTCTCGCTCAAGCCTCGACAAATGATTAAAACATTAGTATTGCATTTTTTTTCTCAAGATTAAAACTGCCATGCACAACGTACAGTACCTGTTAATTTCCTTTTTCCTATATATAATTTACGTATGTATTTTTTCCATTAGTGGCGAATAAATAAATGTAATGTAGTTTACTTTAATTTCAAGGTAATACCGAAAATTACTACGTCATGACCACCTTGCTTGCATTTACAGATACGCGTTTCAATATTAGGAGGAGAATTGTCATTAATGATGAAACAAAGCCGGTCATCTAATAAATTTTCCGTGCTGAGTAGACACTTATTTTCTTTTGTCAGGCGTTGTTTGTTGCGGATACTAGTGGATATTTGTTTACTTTTCTACTTGAATGCTCAACTATGAAATAACGTATACCCATGCAATTAGTCTCCTGAATCTCGGCTACATGTATGTACAACAGATCGATCGAATGGATAACCCTGACTCAAATCTCGGTAAATTATAACTATGTATCTATAATCAACCATACTTAGAAGAAATTTCCTTTTTAAAACAATTAATTACTCTAAAAACAAGAAACAAAATCAGTAACCTTTTCACTTCAGAGACAATCCGGTGCTGTATCCACGCTTACACTTCGCGTGAGAAAGAAGATGAAAAAGATGGCAGAAAATACCAAATTTATTGTGCGGCTCAGCAACTGAAAATGGTATCCGTCTAAACTCCGCAGACAAGAATTTCTCGGAAATTTATTCATGTCGAATGTGGAGGTAGCATTAAAGCGATCTAAATAACACAGATTTTATCTGCCATCCATAAAATCTCAATAATTAACGATCAGATTCGTGCAAGACCTAGATTGCAATCATTCATTGTATGTTAGTTACGTTTGTCGTACATGGTTTATAAAGGGCATATATTTTACTTTGATTTACTCAACGAAAAATATTGACCAGTAATTACAAGCTTTTGCCGAGTACGACTCGCTTAGCTTTGCGAGGAAACAATTCAGTAATTCTTCATGCGAACGAAGTTTAGTACACGTAGATTTATTTAGGACACTGTGCTGCAGAATTTACAGTACCCTTCCAATAAGAATCGATTAACATAAAATTAACAATGAATCTCATATTGTTAACATATGAAATGCGCGTTTTCTTTGCTTGAATCAGTAACAGAATGTTGGAGCCTTAATTATATATGCCACTGTCTTTTTTCACCGATAAATATGAACCCGAGATGTTATCCTACTAAAGGTTATTCACATTTCCCCAACTGAAACAAAATTCTATAATTATTCAAACTTACAGTCAGGTGTGTTTACCAAATTCAGATCGGATATCAGATCCCAAGAGAGATTAACAAAATGATTTGTTGCGCAGCCTTAAGGCTTGCCATGCAGTAAGTAGTAATAATTAAATGTTTCTCACTCTAAAAGTAACAGTGAATATCAAATTGTCAACGTATGAAATACTCCTTTTCCTTGCTTGAATTTAACAGAATGTTGGAGCATTAATTATCTATACCACTTCTTTTGCCGATAAATATGAACTAGAGATGTTATTCTAGAGGTAATTCACATTTCCCCAATTGCAACAGAATTCTATAATTATTTAAACTTACAGTCAGGTGTGTTTACCACAAATTCAGATCGAATATTAGATTCCAAGAGAAATTAGCAAAATGATTTGTTGCTCAGCCTTAATGCTTGTCATGCAGTTAGTAGTAATAATTAAATGTTTCCCACTGTAGGGAATGTTATTGACAGATCTCTTCATGTCATGCATATTGTGATAAATTTCTATAGTTTTTTTTCCTATAGTTTTTCTTTTTAGCTTTTTTTTATGCTTAAAATTTCAAAATAAATTAGCAACATACTAATGATGGAAAATGAATGAATTTGCCACCTTATCTTTACAGATTAATCATCATCAGCAGTCATTACCGCGCCATGGAACGCATGTTAAGGCCTTTTAAAAAATGCTGAAAAAAAAAATAATTGCATCCTTACTTTTTGCAGGATATAATATTCATTAACAGGAAAATGACATCGATTTGAAGTAATTCTAATCTGTCCCAAGACTTTTATCTCGATTTGGCATCGATATGCAGTGTGATGAGCAGAACTGTTAATTATATCTCCTTCATATTACATTGATGATTAGTGCTAAATCTGCATTTGAAAACTTCGTTAATTTGAAAATGAAAAGCAGTAAGACACATGACCTCTTTGGATGAGAACCAAGGTCCGCCCTTCCCAGCAGCCGGTAACGCAGCAGCTGTGCAAGCGATAGAGGGTGCTCAGTCTGGAATAAATGAAATATAGCAATACGAAATTGATCACTTCAATATCGCTTCCTATCCTTTGACCACTGGTAGGTGTTTTCAGCTTTAAAAACCTTTGATCATTATAATTATCGTTTATCAAGATTTTGCAAGAGTAAGAAAAAGCCGTGTTATTTCCGACCATTGAGTCTGTTGTTGTGAAAACAACAGTGGTTTGACTGGGCGTAAATCTTAACCTGTTTAGTCTGAAAAATGTGTGCAGTTCATTCATATAAATTTGGAAAACCGGAGGGGTTTTTATTTTCATGCATTGGTGTCTCCATTTTTAATATTTTTGCAATAATTATTTTTAAGGCGGTAATTATATTTCATGAGTTAAGGTTTCGAACATCCACTTTGTGATGTAAATAAATCAGCATATCTGGTCAGATATTCAGGATTATAACGTCCATACCATGCACGCAAGGATGTTTTCTTTATCAGAAATCTGATTGAAAAACCATTTTGTGATATCATATCGTCGCTAGAGCGCAGCAACAAATAACTGCTCCTAAAAGGGAGAATACATTTTGCAGAATATGTTTTGCCACCTGTTTACAATATAATTTGACTTTTTATTGATTCTAGCAGTCTTAAGCCGCATTAATAACACGTTTCTATTTCAAAGGATATAATGATAGCGTTGGTTAATCTTGCCGTGCGTAGAAAATTAATAAATGTTTTTCAAGCAAGCGTGGAAAATTTTCAGGTTTAGTTTAGTGGTATCCATCCGGCGTACAAGGAGAGAACGTGTAAAGGTGGGTGCGATAAATGTCATATCAACGTTGGACGGATGGCTGGGACGTTTCAGTGACACTTCACCTGTTTTACTTCAAACTATTTAAAAAGCTTAAATATTCAATAAGGCGAAACACCACTCAGATATGATTGCTAATTTCTGCAGTTCACAACCATTAGGTAACGTAGATGGCAAACTATCTCAATTGCAATAAAAAAGGGAGAACTGTTTGCTATTGTACTGACTCGGTCAAGCAATATTATGTTAGTTAGTTTTGTAACCAGCTTCGGGGCAGAATTTCTTTTTGCCAAAGATATATTTTTTCCCCTAATACTGCAACTACACTAACGGAATAGACAGCATCTTTCTTTATTACAACTGAGGCAGTTTTAGAACCATCAATTGAGCCACTGTCTTACTCTGGGAAAAGTCTTCTTGAGAATTCATGTTTATATTTTCAGGTGAACGTACGCAGAAAATGCCGTTTCGTCAATGCGTCTCCTTAATGTTTATTCTAGCGTTTTTTTGCCTGATGGGCTGTTTTTGGACGGAAATCGAAGGCCATACCACAGGTAATTCAAAATCAGAGAAACAATTACTAAAAAGCTAAATACCTGCTCTGGTCGATCTAAACACATTACTCTCGATTATTAGCTCTGAAAGGGAGATATTTCTGTCTAAAACGATACCCTGCACAATTTTGTGATATTTCGAAACGTAGTTTGAGTGACTCCAATGCCCTGCACATAAAAGAATTTTCTTGAACCATTTATGCAAATTTCAGTGTAGGGAAAATTTATGGCAATGGTAGATTGCGTTGTTTATCGAGTGATAAATAAATAATGAAGTTTAAAAGAAATGTTAAGGATTGCTTCTTTTGTACGTGATGGCAAAGTGTTTCTACTTCACGCACACTTGATTAGCCTAGGGCTTTCAAATATAACATCGCGATCGGCTCTTTAAGCTACGACTTATTTACAGCTTTTATTATTGGAATATGTTTAGGGACGATTCTTGTGGTTCTGCTCTCGTCGTCGGCGCTTTCGAGTGAACCAGGACCGCCCTCTTCGCCAAGTGATGGTCAGATCCCTTTGCCTCCATCATGTTCGTCTGACGCCAATCCACCATCTCCACCTTCACTGCCATCTCCACCTTCTCCGCCATCCTCACCGTCTCAAGGATCTCCGCCACCTCCTGGACCACCCTCTTCGCCAAGCGATGGTCAGCTCCCTTCACCTCCATCACCTTCCTCTGGCGCAAACCCGCCATCACCACCTTCCGGCTGCCTACATCCTCCTGGATCACCTTCTTCGCCATCATCTTCTTCTGGTGCTAGTCCGCCATCACCACCTTCTCCACCTTCTCCAGGATCACCGCCATCTCCTCCATCTCCAGTATTACCTCCATCTCCGGTATTACCTCCATCCCCGGTATTACCTCCATCCCCGGTATTACCTCCATCCCCGGTATTACCTCCATCCCCGGTATTACCCCCATCTCCAGTACTACCACCATCACCACCCTCTGGGGAAGGTGGAGGCTCAGGAGGAAATCTCTCAGTGAGTACTACCGCAACTGCTTTTACAACTGTTCCTTCCCCCACAGGGCCGGATCCAAACTCTTTTCTTCTCGGCACTTTGCGCCCCAAGTGCAGCTCAGGGACAACTCATACCGATGGTAAGGAACTAAAAGTAGTTTATATGAGGAGTTTTGAAGTATGAATATTAATATATCGAGTAGGTTTCAACCGAACTGCCGATAAATATTTAAATTAGCAAATAGACCTTACTTGAAGCTTCCATAATACTCCTCAATGTTCCGGTTAAGCCTTACATGGACGTAGTAAGTATTTCATTGTAATGGAATTTAGAGTACATGCAAGTAGCTGGCTTCGACTTTTTTGCGTGCCGCGTAGTCCATATATAAAAGTAAATAAACCTAAAATCTTACCTCTGAGACCAATGGAAACTAGGATACAGATTAATTACACTGTTTAATTATGCAAGTGAATTAAGTTTTAAGAAATCACATGTTGCTGCATGGCATATGCAGCTCGCGCCAAAAATATTAGTAAAGCTAGAGACATGGTAAACACATGCGTCTTGACTACAAGGCTCGTCGAGTTTGAAAAATATCATGGTGTTTCAAGGCCTTATTCATATGCTGTGGAATCTTACCTGTATTTCCATCTCTTTTATCATCCACAATAATTACGTCAGTATTTCGAGTATTTGAGTGTGATGTAGTAGTTTCCTAGAAGGCGTCGGGAAAACTTGTAGGAATTAACATCTAGCTAAGATACATAGCTTGATTAAAAAAGAGCTAGACCAATCCTAACGCTATAATAAAATATATCTCATATTATGTTTTCATCGTTATAGACCTCATAGGTCCCAAGTGGGATGAACAAATTCGTCTATTGGCAGAGCGCTGCGAGGATAATGACAAGATCACGTTGTACAGCTGTAAAAATCGCTGCGGAGTGGAACAGAGAGATGCTTCTGTACCAATGGGAGCTAGATATTTACCTAGATGTTTCTGTGATAAACTCTGTGATGACTTTGGTGACTGCTGTTTTGACTTTGACGCATTGTAAGTTTCAGATTGTAATGTATGTAGGAAATAAATGTTAATTATATTCAGACCACTACTCATGCGGTAGGATTTTTCTCAAAGAGTACTTTTTGCCCATTTGCATGCGAATCAGGATCCGCATAGACCATTGTTGTCTTTGTCTCGCTAGTGAATAAATATTGTACTTCTGAATCAGGAAGTGGTACATACAATATACCACAACGATCGGCCGCGATACATTTCAAGCTCCTCTCCCTATCGGTGAACACAAAACTTCCTTCTGTGATGGAGAACAACACAAAATTCATGTTGTAGGACTTATGATTCAAGCGTCTCTACCAGTCAGGAATTGACCAAAACCAAAGCATATCCTCGTATCGACAATGAACACAAGCCACAATCTTTTCACTAGGACTGGTCATTAACAGTGTAATTCAGGGGATTGGGACTAATGTAAGTTACAACTTTATCCAATTGAGCTCCATTTACTGGTAATGACCGCAAACTATGTGTCATCCCATGGAACAAGCAATACGCAAAAACATCTCAACTGGATCTGCAAATTAGTTTAAATGTCTCATGAAGACATTGTTTTCTTCTTTTACAGGTGTCGAGCGCATGTCAATCCCCAGAAAAACCCTTTAACTTCGGATCATATTTGCCTGGCTGTCAAACAAGGAATTGGTCCAACGTACATTGGTTACACAGCCTGGAAGGCGTGTCCACAGAATTGGACAAAGAAAAGCGTGCGCCAAAAATGTCAGGAAGAAGATCAAAGTGACCTTTTAAGAAATTTGCCAGTATTCGACTTTGACAGTCTCACCACGTACAGAAATATATTTTGTGCGAGATGCAATGGCGCTGTAAACACAGGATACTGGACACTTCAACTCGAATGTGACTGGTTTAATGTGACGAACTTTAATTTTACCAGTGAGAGGGTCTTTCTGAGCAATTATAACTGCTCCATTAAAACATCACCAAGAGACCATCTGCTTAGTTTTTCAAAACGATGCGTTCCTCGGTTTCAGGACTGCTACGGTATCAGCCAAGAGAAAAACGAATCTTACTGTCAGACTGAATGTCTCAGATACGCTTTCCCTGTCTGTTTTGATACCGGACGAATCCTATTTAGAAATCCACAGTGCGGATTGTGCAATGGTTTTGATCCAAGTTATCTCGAATGCGAGTGTACTTCTGGAGGTAAACCAGGAACCCGTCCCCTTTCTATCCTTTTCGATTTTGGTTCCACATCCATGTCTGTTCAAGTAAAAGACAGTCAAGAGAGTGAGACGCTCTACGTTGAGCAATTTTGGTCTTGTTCTTCCGATGAAGTATACGATCCATACACTGGAAGCTGCAAACCCATTGTCTCAACCGGACGCGATGATCCTCGACGCAACGAAACCCAGACAGGGATTCTAAACTGTACCTTTATATCATTTAATAAGACAGATTACATACAGCTTGCGAACGGTTCCGTCTACTTAAAACCCCACAACAAGACATATAGCAATACTACATACACAATTCGTGACAACAGATTACTGCTGTGTCTGAATTTCTCAAGAAATTTCACTAGAACGGAAAAGGGGCGAGGAAACGGCTACAAGATAAGAACGACGCCAGCACCTCTCCAACTTCTTACTTTAATCGGATGTATAGCGTCGATTATTTCTTTAATTCTGCTGATAATTACTTACATGTTATTTGCTGAACTCCGCAACCTACCTGGGAAGATCATAATCAACTTGGCGATTTCTCTGTTGCTGTACCAAAGTGTCTTCTTTTCAGCGGTTAAACATGAAGACCCAGACGTGTGTTTGGCAGTTGCAGTTCTTCTTCATTTCTTTGTTCTGTCCTCCTTCACGTGGATGAACGTTATGGCTTATGACGTGCATCGGATTTTTACTCCCTCAGGTTAGTTGTATGTGCTGCCTGTGTTCAGAAGACGATTCATGCAATTTTTAATTAATCTATGAAGAGCGAAGGGGAGTTCAATTATGCCACAGGTTATAATTATAAATCTATGTAATAATATGTAACAATACGTACGTAGCATCATTCTTCGATTCAAGCTGTTTGGGTCACAATCCCTTCCGAATCTATCGAGGTAGTTGTGAGGCCATTGCTTGTAATAACTGAGAGTTTCCTCCTGATTGTGTTAAAGATGGTGTTGCTGTAAACCGACAAGGAAGCTACAAGAAGCGCTTGATGGCGTACTGTCTGTATGCCTGGGGAACTCCTGCCTTTGTCGTTCTTCTATGTGTCACGGTTGACCATGTCAAAAAGGGTTCCGTGGGATATGGCAAGTAGATAATAATTACTTAAAGCATTGATGAAAATAAACTTTATGCAATTCTTGAATATTGCTTAAAACAGAGTTAAAATTAGTACACTGTCGCCAGAGGTTACATATCCAGACTTGCCATCACGTGGAAAAATGAGATATCTGAAATAATTCAGCTGTAAATACCGCCCGAAATCTACGATGAGTATCAGAGAAGATACTGCTATGAGTCATTTTGATATAACAGTTGGTATTGAGTGGTTAAGATAAGTGTAACTTAATTCTTTACTCTATAGCTTTCTTTTTGAAATAACAGGGGAAGGAGCAGACGAATGTTTCATATCACAGCCTCAAGCGATCCTTTATGCCTTTGTTTTGCCTGTTGCACTGGTGATGATCTTCAATCTCTTTGCTTTGGGACACATTGTTATTCATATCGTCAAGACTCGTAAGGTGGGTAAAATTAACCATTAACTGCGAATTTTTTTAACGAATCGTTGATGACTCGAAAAAAATTACGAATTGCGTTATCGTCAATCACGGAAAGAAGAAATATTCAGATCTTTGCGGTTTGACTGAAAGACTACAAGACTGACAGACACGTAGATACAGGTTAGGAAATTCAAGATTTGGAAACTCAACGTTCGCGTTGGCAAATATTAAAAATTCAAGATTTGGAAATTCAAGATTAAGCCTTCCAAACATTGAAAATTTAGGATCTAGAAATTGATGATTTGGCGTGCTAAAAATTGAAACTTCAACGCTTGAAAATTCAATATTTGTGTTGACAAATATTGAAAATTCAAGATTTTGAGATGTAAGATTA